CACCTCCAACACTGCCCACCTGCCCATCCTCACTAGCGGTTGGCTGCCAGTTCTCCCTGCCTCTGAGCTGTTCCCCAGACTGTGTCTTCCTGTTTGCTTTTTTGTTAATTTTGCACTTGTTGCTGGTGTCTGCTTTTTGGGTTCTTTTACTCATTGATCCCTGACAGACACCTGTTGGTCTCTGCAGAGTCACAGAGGAATCTCAAAACACTGATGGAGTAAAACCGCATAGGGATGGTCCCGGATGTTGTTCAGGAGTAGTAGTTATACAGAGGTCAGAGGGTGCTTTGACACTGTCATGAGATCTGCACCTACAATATTACAAAATATTCTACAAATACTCAAATTAGGAATTATTAATTCTGAGCTAGCTGAGGTCAAAATAGACATCAAAGGAGGGTTTGGGGGGCATTAGATTATAAAGATATCTGAGCTGCCATTTTAGTGACGAAAGTTGAGGAATGAGGAAGCAGAAAATGATTGATGAGAGAAGTACAACAAAACGGTGGTTACAGCCCCTCTGATGAAGATGAGAAAGAAGGGTAGGTAGCATGGCAGTACAGTCATTTTCACATCCGGTTTGCAGCAGGCAGGAAGCAGAAAATGTCACCCAAATGACCACAGGATCAAGACAAGCTACTTCCCATGCAGAATCTTTCAGCTTCTTTATGATATATTTAAGTCGTTATGGCTGTTGTTCTCTCAGCTCTTAGATAAAATAGGACATGACATTGTGTAATAGTAGATATTTCTCTCCAAAAACAGAGTGGGGTAAAATCTAAAGAACCAGACTCTCCCTGCTCTCTGAAACATTAAATAAGATCACATATTTATTACTGTCAGATATGATATTTATACACTACAAACAGACACACAGTAAAAAATGTGGTATAGACACTGCTAATGAGGGGATTGGAACGAGTTACCAAACTCTGCTCCATCTGCTGACTCCCTCTCAAGACCCAGCTCTTCACTCAACACCTTTGCACTTGACAGACTGAAAACAAACAAACAAACAAAACAATCCTATCACCTCCCTACAACCTGCTATTGGCATCAACGCCCGATCACACTTGAACTTGTTCTATGGCTCTTATCTAGATCCTTGCTTGTGTCGTATCTGTTCTCAGATGTTCGTCGCTTTGGATAAAAGCGTCTGCTGGATGAAACTGTAGAATTGTAGTAAGTAAAAATAAAACCAAAAACGTGGTGCACCAGTGTTTCAGTTCTGTCCAGACACTCCCTGACTGGATGGATGACTACATCATCCAGGGCGGCTGTGGCTCAGGTGGCAGAGCGAGTCGGTCAATGATTGGAAAGTCGGCGGTTCAATGCTGCCCTGTAACTTGTGTCATGGTCATTGTGTGGGCAAAACTGTACCCACCTTGCCTGGTGTGAATGGATTGTTTGAGGTGGTGGTCGGTGGTCTGCCCTGACAGAGGCGTGGCTGTGTTGACAGTGTTAAGCATCTTTGAGTGCCTAGAAAAGCGCCATATAAATCTGATCTATTATTGCTATTATTTATATGAAAATAGGGAACAATCAGGTAGCAGGTCTTCTGAGAAAGTTGCAACAACTTAAAGCCACATTTGGCGGTTTTGTGGATGATAGATCAGGCTCATTAATGTACATCCATCCATCCTGGAGTCTATCCCAGCGGACTCAGGGTGAAGGCAGGTTCACCTGGACAGGTAACCAGTCTATCACAGGGCTACACTTAGAGACAGACAACCAAGCACACTCACATTCACACCTA